CTCCCCTACTGGGTTTTTCTTAACCCTCTGTCATCCCCACTCTGTCGGTTGATCCTCTGGCCAGTGAATTTGCAAACTCGGTGTGTATAATTGTCCGAGAGGTACATCCTCGGCATTCCCCTCACCAACTCCCACCATAACACGTCGAAGGAGTGGCTCACCCCACCACAATCAGACCAGTGGTCCATCGGGCACGCCTGTCACAGCATCCAAACTCCTTTCTCCCACTACTATTACCCTCTCCTCTCTTTGCACTCATTGACGTTGCATTGACTCGATTCCCCTACTGATACCAGGGTGGGGGCTAAATCTGAGGAGCTAACGAGACCTAGAGGAAGGGGTCGCTAAATACAACTGGCGAGACCAATGTACCAGTGTACGACGCCTCTCCTTCATCCCTCGACGTAGAGGGATATGTTACCCCTTCTCTGGGTATTTTTCTCCGGAGAGGTGGCTGCTCTCTCATGGCATCATTCTACTTTTTAGGGGTACATTGAGCACCGGGGTGAGAACAATTACTCAGGTTTATAAACAGCAATATGCACTGGGGTAAAGTTCTCCATGAAATCTTCAGCAAAAAAAATTCCTTTTTTTTTCACACCTGCATTTATGCGTGTTATTGGATTGCTTTTTTTCAAAAAAGAAATCCGCGGAATTTATTACAGATAAGTCGAAAAAAAGGGAAGTGCAAGGCGGTATTGTGCTACATTAATGAATTAATTAACTAATTAAAAAAATGATGACAGAGTATTGTTGTAAATACTGTCGCAGTCGAAGTAATTTCTTTATTCAACTCGTCGAGGTGAAAAAAGGACGAAGGGGAGATGTTGTGTAATAGGTGAAACAAAAGGACGAGAAGATTCTTGTGAAAATGAAAAGGGACAGTACGTCACGGCGGAGTGACGATGCTGGAGTATAGATAGGGTGACTAGACGCATTCCTTAGGCATTGGCCTCGATCAGATCCTGTGTCACTCGGTTCATTAAGCTGGAGTAACAGCATGCCCAGGTGTTCACCAGAGGGCAATAACTCGGCCCTCCATATCCCCTCTAGTCATCCTCTTCCTTTACCTATTTATTTTTTCATTCCCATTCCTTCTGTATATAAACTATAGTGGCGCTCGATGCACTTGACAGCGCACGGGGCCAAATCAACTGGAACATTAGCCATAACCAAATAATTTTCATTAAAATTCACAACCAAAATTAACAGCACCATACAATACACTCGAGCTATCCACATTCATTGCTTCAATTCACTAACACTTCGGCGAGACCTCTTAAAAAATCCCAGTGATATTTTCACTTAAATTCCATTATTACATATTATTACATCCATCTTTGAATTTGAGATTTCCCGGAATTTTACGCGATTCCGCAGTGAATATTTATTTGCATCTCGAAACTCATGGATATCTATGAAAATAACACAACTCGAAATATTATAACTGAAAGAAATATTGTTTCAAAATGTTACAGCTAAGAATAATGTATTTACATTATAATATTGGGGCTCGTTAGTAAAAATCCCAATTCACTAGTAGAAAACCACAAGCGAATCCGAAAGGGAGACATAGCAGTCACTAAAAAAAATGCCGAATCCGCAAGAAAAGCCACACGTGTTTTGCACTCTGAAAACCGCTGATTCAATTTCCTCTGCATCTTCACGCGCCAAAAAAAAATAAATCCGCGGGCACAAAATCGAATGCCCCACGTTATTTGCAAACAATAGCCAACCGCGAATAAACCCCGAGGACCTGGTTTGAATTCTTTAGATGTCCACCAGCGATACGCATCCCATTAACATATTATTGCTATTATTAGGTAAACGATTCCCCGTCGATTTTCACCCGATTTCTCCCTCTCGGCTCTTTAACACTAAAAACTGAATAAAGATCCTGGTGATTTAGCCCACCACCTTGAGTTTGAGTTTACGAGTGGGCCTGTAAAAAAGGGAGACGTGAGGTCTTGCCGAGTTTCGGCTGAAGTCGAGAGGAGGGAGAGGTATCGAATCGGAGGGAGATTATACGCCGCCAAAAATACGAACTGAGGGAACTGTGGGTGCGGATGAGGGAATCTGCGTATGATCTTTACTCCCTGTATACAAGCATTTGGAAATTCTTGACATACAAAAAAAAAATCTCGAATTTATCAATCCGTGGATGGATTCATTAAACGACGAATTATCCTATTATTTTCCAATAAAGTGCGAACACGGAGTGAAATATTTAGTAAAAATTACGGAACTTTCAGTTCACTTACCGATGAAGGAGTTGATTCGAAAAATTTAAGTGACGGTATCGTTATTTTTCACCGATAATTCAGATAAAAATTACGGAACACCGCGGAAAAATTCCGTGACTTCAGTTAAAAATTACGTGACAGTTCCGTAAAATTTCCGACAACCACATTTCGCTCCAGAATTACGAAAAATACACGTAATTTTTATTAAATATTTCTCTCAGTGAAAACAACAAAAAAAAACTTCCCAAAAAAAATTCAAGGTTTAATGAAAAGTTCTCAAATGTACATTGAATTTTTTATTGCCGCCGAAAGAATGGCACGTGCAATGAGAGATCCTTGCGCGAATCAAAATTCCAGAATGCTGGAAAAAAAAAGGGGAAATAACGCGATAACTATCGATTTGCCACTGCGCGGTTTTGGCATTCGATAGGATCCTGTTACGCGTGAAAGACGCTTCGTTATGCGATACTCACGTATAATGATGGTACCGAGTAAAAATGGTATAATATCGAGGGAAAAAAAAAGGGGGGGAAAACCCAGCGGAGGAAAGTTTGAGTGTTGCTGGAGGGAAATGCGGTGGCAGTGGAACGTGAGTGTAATCGTCAGACAGCACGCCGCCCTTCTGACATGCAGACTCAGCCTCGTACGTGTTCTGATTCTCAAGAAAAAAAAAAAAAGAATGGCATCATCATCGGGGAAAAGAGTGTCTCTGTGAATAGATAAGAGCGGCAAATTAGCCTGGGCATCCCATTAAAACTCGAGATATTTCATTTACTTGTTCCTTTGATCTTGGGGCTTTTTTTTTCGCGAGGGGGATTTTTCAAACCACTCTGCCATCTGCATTACTCGATGAAAAGTTTATAAACGGCTGATGGCTATTCCCTTGGAGAATTATTTATTCATTCATGATCAATTGTTTATTTATTTATTATTCATTCGAGTTTTCGGAATTTTTACATTTTTCGGGGTTCCGATTTTTACCAACTCCTATTCAATTAGATTTAGCATTTTAAATGAAAATCTTTCATTTTTGAAACTAACGACGTCTTTATGAAAAATAGGTAGAAAGACTGATGAATTACTCCAGAATTTCTTGGAAAAGCAGACAGATCTCGGAAATTTCACGTGAAAAATCGAAATATTCCTGCAGAACACGGTCGCGAGAGCCGGTTCATTATCCACAAGAAATCCGAGTGTTCGTTGGAGGTATAATACGTGAAAGATCCCGAGCACCGAGATAGTGACTCCTTGAAGGGCCAGACCGCGTGCCGCCAGGCCGCCTCGCCAAATTAAAGGCTGCTTGCTCTTGCCCTCGTATACACTTTAAAAATGGTATATCGCTCGGTAAAAAAAAATCCAAATGAATGTTTGCCACATGCACACAATGGGAAGAGAGCACCAGGAGAAAGAGAGAAAGAGTGGAAGCGGTGAATTAATTGTCGCTCGCACGCCGCCGCCAGGTACTACCGCGATCCTCGAGTCTGATTTGTGGCCCGCACGTGTGTCCTCCTGTGCCCCTCTCCCTCCTTTTAATCCTAAAAAAAAAAAAAATCAGTCACTAAAAATCGAAGCGCAAATGTTAAATAAAACAAATGGAAATGGAGCTAAAAGCTACCTTTAAACAATGCCCTCCTTCCCCTTATTTCCCCCACCTGATCCTCTTGTATCGCGATTCAATTCCCCTTTTTGTTTTTTTTTTGTTTTTGTTTATTATTCAATGTGTGCAGACCTCTCGAAGGGGGTGAGGGTGAC